TTATGGTAGATGCATGTAAAATACATCTAGTGTAATTAGCAATAACTTTTCTTGCTAAAACATATAGAAGAACTCTAAAATAATTGACCAAACATATAGAGTAAATATATATCTCCATAAAATCTCCAAATAAAGCACAACATATGTACATCTACTCTCGCCCTAAGTGTTTAAAAGTACGTGATGATTATAGCTACTTCCATTACTGAAATACTTGCTCCATAACTGAAATACATGCACTTCCAATAGAGAGTACTGAATGAACGCCGTAGATCTCTTTGTTTCAGCATCTCATCAATCTTTACAAAGTTATCATTTGATATATACAAGGGGCAAAAAGAAATACTACTATCTAAATAAACAAAAGATGCAATAATTAAATATGATGCATAGCTAACTCTTATGAAACTCTTTTATTGCTAACTTGCTTAAGTATATATACAACAGTAATGAGGTTCATCGGATTTTTTATTTTTCCTACCCCTTGATAATGAAGATGATGATAATTCATTGATGTTATGACCAGGCCATCATCGCTGCTCAACCAGATAAGCAATATCAATTTCTTTCAAAAGTAAGATAATATCATGTGGCATTGGCACAATGCACACAGAAAAATCCCATGAAGCACACAACAATATAATACTTGTGAGCCAAAAAGTATGTCTAAGTACTATGTAGAAATTCAAAGGTCATACACATGAGATACATTAAAAACACTTAATTCCCAAGAAGAACTATTAAGTTCACATCCGTAATTAGTGCCAAGAAAAAGGTGCATGCACCTTACTTGTGTTAATGGCTAATTTATTGTACACTATAATTACGAATCTACTTATTGTCTTGCTAATAGATAACTTACCATTCCTTGTTCCACCGTAAATTTTGAAATACATATTTACATTTTTGTACATTAATAGTAAGAAAAATATTATAGATTGAAGGTTTAAAAGGTCATCCAGCTATTAATGAGTATTTTAGTATTTTAACTTTCACTTTGTGGCTTTCCACTTATAATATAGAGTATCACTTACCGATGATTTGGGGAAGAAAAGTTCTTTGGAAAACCGCCTCTAGGGTTCTTGAGCTTGAAAATTTGAAGAATGAATCAAAAATCTCATATAAGTCATATTACCCAGCTGCATATGTCATATTTGCGACCTGGGCTTCGCAAATGCGAGAAATCCATCGCATTTGTTAAGACTCTCACACTTCTGCTATCATCGCAAATGCGAAGAGATATTCACAAATGCGAACTGGGCTGATCGCAAATGCAACCCGGTGATCGCAAATGCAAAGGATGCCTTCCCCAGACTGATGATAGGCTATAATTACGTATTTTAGTCGATTATTACACTCTAATTTACTGCACTTTAATTGAGTTTGAGCTTTAATCGCTAGTGTTTTGCACTAATTGTATGTTCTATGCCTTGTAGGAGTGATTCCGAGCTATATAGATGTTATGGAATGAATTCAAGTGATTTGGAGCTTTAAAGTTTGAGTAAAAGTTCAAGGAATTAAGCCGGTATCGTGTTTGGGGGTCAACGNAAATTGAAGTTGGGATTGAAGAATTTGCGCTTAAAGTTGATTATGTGGTGTGTTAAAGTGCTTAGGAGGGTTAGTCACTATTCCTAAATATATCCTACCTGTCCCTTAGCCCACATTACAACCATGAAAAAGTCCTAATTGATTTTAGATCGAGCGAGCCTACATTAGTAGAGATTTACATTATGGGCAAGCCTATAGTACCAATTACATGCATGTGACTTCTTTTGTGAGGGTGAGCGATATTTTCTTTGATATATATGAGTCCTTAAAATATATTTGATCGTGAGATTCGAATGTGTGGATTCAACTTACTCTCTTGCCTTGGTTGTGAGGGCACATGATTTCACGAAGGATAGGTAACATTATTAGACTTCTCTAGGATGTTGGGTGTTCAAGCCATGAGTGCATTGTGTCACCGAGTCGGTTTTTGAGGCTAGGATTGTTGTGAGCATATTGTCTTTGTTTGAATATTTTTGAAGAATGACATAAGTAAAGGGAAGTGTATGATGATTGCATATGCTAGAGTTTAATTGTTGCTATCAACCATAATCATTGGTGTAGTGTGCTTCAAATATGTTAAGTGCTCATAGATAGAGTAAATTTTTGGTTGACTCGAGGACGAGCAACGTTTAAGTGTGGGGTGTTGATGATAGGCTATAATTACGTATTTTAGTCGATTATTACACTCTAATTTACTGCACTTTAATTGAGTTTGAGCTTTAATCGCTAGTGTTTTGCACTAATTGTATGTTCTATGCCTTGTAGGAGTGATTCCGAGCTATATAGATGTTATGGAATGAATTCAAGTGATTTGGAGCTTTAAAGTTTGAGTAAAAGTTCAAGGAATTAAGCCGGGATCGTGTTTGGGGGTCAACGGATGATAGTTAGAGCGAACGAAGACTCCAGTAGGCAGATTGCACACTGTCTAGTAAAATGGACGTAACTTTTAGCTCAGACCTCCATTTTAGCTCCACAATATATGGTTGGAAAGCTAACTCAAAGGGCTACAACTTTCATGTTTTACGTTTTTCCAAATTCGGAACGGAACAGGGTGAAAAATGCCCAGATGCGCGGCCGCGCTAGTTTTAGCGCGCCCAGAAACAGAAAGTCAGCCAACTAGCGCGGTCAAATGCGCTGCAGCGCTAGTTAAGCCCGGGAAAAGTGTCCTTTTTCACATTGGAGAAGGTATAATTGTTTGGGCCCAACCCTACTTGGTATATATACATAGGAGAACGTTTTAGAGAGCAATTTTTGACGAAGGAAGAGCACAGAGCCGCCGTGGAGGCCGGGTTTTATCTTTTCTTCCACCAACTTAGTCTTTTTATGTTTCTTTGTATGATTTGTTGTTTTTCTACCATGTCTATGTGGAGCTAAACTTCACGTTCTAGGGTTGTGGTGCTTTCATGACTATTGTTATTCGGATATTGATTTTGATTTCTTAGTTTATCATATTGGTTTATTTATTCAATCCTGCACTTAATTATTTGATTGCTTGATCACCAATTGAATACTATCTACGAATTTAGAGTTGAACTCGAAAGTGGGAATTCTAAATTGCATATAGGATTGAGTAGAGCAAGTTCTTGAACCTGGGCCTCGGGGAACGGATTAGCAATTGGGATAGACATATACCTAATTGCCTTGCTTGGTTGATTTACATGAATTATAAATGCGTTCTTGTTGATTCTAACTCGATAGACATATAGGCGTTAGGTTAGCTTGAATAGGCGAGTAAGAACTCGACAGATTCTTATGAGCAATATTAACCCTGTCAACCAATAAACTAGATAAATTAGTTAGTCAATTCAATTGAAGAATGCAATAGGAATGTTAGATAGCCCATAACCCTAGATCGTTTTCATTACATTGATATCATAAAAATCTGCTCTTCCTCTGTTCAAAGTTCATTATTTATATTTCTTTATTTAATTAGTTTAGAATCAAATATTTCTAGGTTTAATTCTTGTTTAGATAATTAGGATAGTCTAATTTAGTTAATAGTTAATGACAAGTCCTCGTGGGATCGACATCCGACTTTTAGTCACTTTATTACTTGACGACCGCGTGCGCTTGCGTGTGCGTTTGGCCGCAACACAGACCCACTTCGCAAATGCGAAAAATGTTTCGCAAATGCAAAACCTGTGTGGCCCAGCTACTCTTTGCATTTGCGATGAGTAGCTCGCAAAAGCGAACCCCTCAGAGGTCGCAAATGCGAGGCCTGATCTCGCAAATGCAAGGTCAGAGGCCTGCAACAGGACTGAAACACCAGCAACATTTCTTAAGTCAAATTTCACTCTGTAGCCTATCCGAAACTCATCCGAGCCCTCGGGGCTCTAAACCAAAAGTGCACACAAGTCTAAAAACATTATACAAACTTGCTCGCGCGATCAAATCGCCAAAATAACACCTAAAACTACAAATTTAACACCAAATCAAATGAAATTCTCAAGAAAACTTTTTGGTCAGCATTCTAAATGTTTGTATCACATTTAAATCGTATTGTTGAAATATTTAAAAGCAAGGATATAGTTTTGAACATTTGAAATATTAGAAGAATTGTCATCATTGGAACATCACTTGTTACATTGGTTTCATCTTGAACATCATATATTAACGATATAAGTACAACAATACAATAATTATTGCACTTCTCTGTAGTATAAGAACTGCAGGAAGGGATGAGAAAATAAATTGATTTTATGGATGAATAAAACTATCATTTTACAGAAAATAAAACCGGCGTAAATAGGTGCATTATTTAAAAAAAAAAAATTGAGTATGAATATTTACTACGATATACACCTCATATTAATGAGTATAAAATCTTATAAATTACATAATATTATTTAGACAGACATTTGAGTTATGAAATAAAAAGTTACTAAAATAAATGAATAAACTCTGCCTCACTAAATTCTTTATCAGATATATAAATGAATGAACTCTGCCTCACTAAATTCTTTATCAGATATATGGGTTATGTATTTTGTTTGGAAGCTCGAACAGAGCAGCACAGTATGTAATTTCATCGTCATTATGATTGATTTTTATTTTTCCATTTATGAGGGGTAAAACTTTACTGCTCAAGGATTCCATTACTGATACAAAAGTCTATTGACTACCGGAAAAGAAAAAACAAAAGAGGCACTATTTCATAGAAATAAATAACAAGTAGAGAGTATTTCTTAATTAAGATTTTTTTATCTTGATGGAAGCATGTAGAATCCTATTTTCTCCTTAAAATCTCTTTAAGTTGGCTATAAAAGATCCATCTTTCTTGCAATAGAAATTGAAGTACTCAAATTGTCTTACATGAAACTAAACTGTAAAGAAATAACATGTATATATATAAACCTACCTAAGTAAAAAGAAATGCAAGATATATCAGTACTCATTTCACATAAAGTGGAAATAATCAACAAAAAGTAGAGTATAATTTTTGAATGAGAAAATTAAACTAAAACACATCTTCAAAGGTTTATATTAATTGAGGATGAAGACAAGGGACATAATTGTTTAACATAGCTAACCAGAAACAACTAAAGTGGCCAAGATATCATCGACGAGCCCTGAATACACAAATAACTCTATCTCTTCAGCTGTAAAAATACTGGAGAGCAAGAGTTGACGGAAATGAGACTAGGCAATTAATATGGCCTAAATCTCTGTTCCAGATATAGGTGGGAGAAATGGGCAAATAGCCACTTTTTACACAGCTAATCAGAAATTAGCTAGCTTATCAACATTAATTAACATTTAATCACTCTGACTAAATCTTCTCTTTGGAAGGCATTTTCAAAAAAGTCCAGGAAAAGGGATGTTGCAGAAAGAAAAAAGTGAAACACCAGAAAATTTCATCCAAGTGGCTGTGGTAGAATTTATTAGTGAAGGCAGTATCAAAGTCTTCAAGGACTACCCCAGAAGTCTTTGGATCCTGTTAAAGAAGAAAAAATAAATAGGTAGATAAAACAAACTGGTAAAAAGTTTTTATTTTTTATATGGACAAACTGGTAAACAGTTTCTCATTTAATTAATACATATTTTCCTCCTTTCGTTGATAGCAACTGATTTTCAATTCCATCATCATCGACATTCCTGCAATCCTCCATCAAAGACCTCATTAATGGTCAATAATTTGCATATCTTCTTAAGTTCATTATCCAAAATTGTGCTCATACTCAAGTAACTCTATTCTAAAGCAATAAAGAAAGCAGAGACACCATTCAGATATTGCAGCAGGATGTCACAAATTCCATTATTCCCTTCAGCCATTTTCCTTCACCATCCTATTCCTCCCCCCAGTACCCCACCCTTTCACAAGGACAACCACCACCACCATATCAGAGTCTAAAGACAAAAAAGCAAAATGACCATTGGAGCACAGATCATCGCAATGCATAAAATAAACCACCCAAAAAATAATAAGACGCAATTCGTAAATACACGATGTTGAGAAAGAGAACTTTACCAGGAAAACCTTAGGCTGCTCTCTCTAAACAAGCTTAATTTAGCATAAAAGCCTATTGTGTAAGCAGAAAGGCTCAAAAGGTGGCCAAGATCATAAGCCGCTAACACTTTGAAGAAGCCATATATATGTACTACAATATAATACAGGGTATGAACGAACTTCGCACAAAGTACTAGTGGCAACCAAAAACAGACAATACATGACTCCTTTTCTTTTTTTGAATAATTACCTGTAAGAGGTGCAGAAACTAAATTGTATACTCTTTCTGTCTCTCCTACCTTCCTATTATTCACCATATGTAGGTTCCTTTTAGAAGGAGAAAGTGCACAGGGTAGATCAAAATAAAGATCATGGAAGGCACAAAGAAAATATATTAATACATTTATAAACAAGAATACTGGGGCATTTTCACCAACCTTCTTCAGAAATGATGGTTTTGATTTACTTGCCCTTGCGATCTTAATGCTTTGAGTCTTAAGCAAACCTAAAGCATCCTGGATGGCACTTAAAGTTCCATTTGTGGCAGTCTCCTACAGAAGCGAATCACGTGCAGTGTGTGAATTGTTAGTCATCCTAATTGAAGAACCAAGTTTTTGAATATTAAGCAAAAAGATAGAGAAGCTGGCTGAATAAGAAAGTAACATATCTGTGGTGAGGACAGATATAAATCATTTTGAAGTTCTTACAATAATCTTGAGATAAACTTCAATATAGCAGTGTGTTAATATTTTCAATATTTAATTCTCTTAAAGCATACAGAAATGATGATTGATAACACACCAGATTGCAATTCACCACCTTCCACAGCTTAAACAAAACACCAAGATGAGAAAGAGGAAATCAGAATGTAAGTAAACAGTTACTCAATTTTTTTGATAACCCTAAACGATTATACATTTTTTGGTTGTTTAAACAATTTAGCCGAGGGTCTTTCGGAAACAGCCTCTCTACCCCTTCGGGACAGGGGTAAAGTCTGCGTACACACTACCCTCCCCAGACCCCATTAGTGGGATTGCACTGGGTTGTTGTTGTTGTTGTTGGTTGTTTAAACAATTATTCATTTTTGCAGCAACTTATCAAAAAAAAAATCTTTACTCATCAAAAAGCATACATTTTTATAGCATTGAGATGAAAGGTAGATAATAATTCTATGAAAACCACCAGATCCTTTTTTATCTGGCACAGGGCTAAGTCACTGAAAAGGTGATTAATAAACAAGACTTTAAGTGACTGAAGTAATTCTCTTTTAAGTACTTGCTGCTCAAATCTGCCACCCTAGTTTTCCAAGCCATCATATTGAAATATAAAAGCAGCCTTTCATCTGGTCCTCAGTCATCCATTTCCTCAACCCTTGACATGACTGACCACTTCTATAGCCAATATCAAGCCTGCGTCTCCCTTCTAGGGTATACAGAATTATTGACATAAAACCAGTCTCAATATTGAGTGACCTGAATACTCCCTTCTTATTAATTTTTTTCCCACCAAAAGATTTACATGTCAAACAAATTGGGAATTAACAACAATGAACACAAAGAGAAAGCCTAACTTGTTTAGATACTTTGTGCTATCCATGATTACCTAGAGCTTAAGCTTCTATATGCAGAGGTCAGATTCGATGTTGACTGCAATACCAGAGTCAGAGGTGGGTCAAATGTCCAACTGTGATCTGGGATTTCATGGATGAAAATTAAGGGGAAAATTTTACCATAAATGTTTTCTCCTCAAGGGAGAATATTCTTCCTTTTTTCAATTAAGCATTTGTGTAAGACATGGAGATACCGGTTGCTTGTGCCTACTTCTAAAGAGACCAGCTCTATGAACCAGCCAGTCAATCAACTTGTTCATCAACACTATGTGCATATACCATAACAAAAACTAAAACAAGATATGCTTAAATAAATTGCACAAAAGCCTGTACATTGTTGTAGCTGGAGGTTGTCTCACAGGACTTGCACCACATAGAGTGTTCACGGCTAAGACAAGGATGTAATGCACAAAAACCAGAACTAAAGAGGAAAATCAAAGCACTAAGGGAAACGAGTACAATAGGCATGTTTATTAAATAACCGTACATCCACCTGTTTATCAAGGTCCTTCAAGCCATCAACACGTGAAAAAGCATCCACCACAGCCAGCAATGAGATCAACCCCTAGAGAGAAGTTTGTACATATGATCCATGGTATTAAGAAGAAAATAAGAAGTGCAAAAAAAATCTAGCTTTGAGAGCACAAGAAAATTGAAGCATAATTAAAAAAATCCATTACAACAGTGATGAAATAACAATTGAGAAGGAGCAACTCACAGATATAGGTGCATCTGCACCAATATTTTTGTCACGAAAAAAGGAAGCCACAATCAATATCACAGGCTTTGCCTTCTCTGACGATGAGATGGCTATTCCAGACACTGTCGTTACAATTATTATTTTTTTTTTTTTGACAAAGGACTGTCGTTACAATTATGCAAACTAGAGGTAAGGTATTGAGGATAATTCTATAGGCAAGAGTTTCAGACCCTACAGACAAGATACTGTCAGATCCTACGCATCAACTACTTGGAAAAGGCAAGGCAAAGACAACAACATTTTAACATTCAGTTGCCTGTGAAACAAGGGTAAAGGATTCCATGTGTGCACCACTATCAATTACAGGAGGGTCGGAAAAGACACCATGGAAAGAGAAGAATCTATTGAGCAACCTTCATTTTAATTTGAATCCTACTGAATCTATATAGGACCAGAAGATGCAAAACCAGCACCCCACCCCCCACCCCTCCCCAAGAAAAGGAACAAAGAAGAAGAACCAAACCAAAAATTACAAATCCAATATATAAGAATCCATTACGAAATAAAGAAATACTAGCAGGATATCCTGAATCATATTTTTCTACCGGCACACCTTTCACCTCCGGGCATCTCCAAAGAACGTCCCTAGGGACCTTGTCATACGCCTTCTCTAGATCAATGAACACCATGTGCAGATCCCTCTTCCTATCTCTGTACTGTTCCACCAACCTCCTGATAAGATGGATAGCTTCTGTAGTAGAGCGACCAGGCATGAACCCGAACTGGTTTTCTGATATAGACACTGCCCTACTTACCCTCCCTTCCACCACCCTCTCCCAAACTTTCATGGTATGACTTAGTAATTTTATACCCCTATAGTTGTTACAATTCTGGATATCCCCTTTGTTTTTGTACAACGTAATCATCGTACTCCACCTCCACTCATCTGACATCCTCTTCGTCTTGAAAATAACATTAAACAGCTCAATCAGACACTCCAAGCCTGCTTTACCCATATACCTCCAAAATTCAACTGGAATCTCATCTGGTCCGATCGCTTTGCCCCGACTCATCTTACACATTGCTCCCACGACCTCCTCCACCTGAATACACCTACAATACCTAAAGTTTTGGTAACTCTCGGAGTGCCCCAACTCCCCTAACACGATGTTTCTGTCCCCCTCTTCATTCAGAAGTCTATGAAAGTACGACTGCCACCTCTACTTAATCTGGGCCTCTTCTATCAATACCCGACCTTCCTCGTCTTTGATGCACCTCAATTGATCCAGATCACGAGCCTTCCTCTCTCTCGCTTTAGCCAGCCGAAATAACTTCTTGTCCCCACCTTTACCCCCCAGTTCCTCATAAAGCCGCCCAAACACGGCAGTCTTAGCCTCCGTGATCGTTAGCTTCGCTTTCCTCCTAACTTCCTTATATCTTTCTCTGTTCGCTCTCCTCTGCTCCTCGTCAGTGCTCTCCACTAACTTAGGGTAAGCCGCTTTCTTTGCTTCCACTTTACTCTGGACCACGTCATTCCACCACCAATCGCCTCAGTGCCCTCCTGAGTACTCCTTCGAGACCCCTAACACCTCTCTCGCTGCCTCCCTTATACAGTCCGCCGTACAATGTTAGAGCAGACCATGTACAATGTACTGTTAAAAGGACACCCGAAATATGGAGTCGGGGGGAGGAGATCTGGGGCTAAAACTTATAGACAAATCCTTTGCCTTCATTCCACAGATCAAAACTAAAAGTTCCAAAAAAGGAACAACATAATTCTTAGGGTAACAGCAACAAGGTTCACCATGGGGAGCTTGTAAATTTCATTTAGCTTAACATAGCATGGTGTGCTTCAAAAGAGCAAGTCTGAGACTAAAATAAACACAAGAGATAAGGAAATCTAATGGTGTATTTGGATGGAAGCACCGCAAATAAAGGGGAAGCACAGGAATAACTGGTGCTATATTTGCATTTAAAATGCATTATTGTTCCATGTTTTTTTTAATAACCATTCAAACAAAGAGAAGTACAGTCATAATATGTTTTTTTCTTTTGAGAGATTACAATCATAAGTTCTCAGCAACATACAATTGTTTGATACGCATTATGAATATCCTGTAGCAAAAGACTTTATTAGCCTAAAGAATGCAATTAAATGAACCACTTTAAATAAAAACGAAGAAGCAGCCTGCATCTGACAACGTTCTACAGATGTCTTAAAAACTACCTTAGCAAAACACAACTCATCGCTTTAGGTGACAACACAGTAGTTGTTTACTCTTCAATTTTGTTGCCACTTTCTAACCCATTTCTCCCTCTATGGTCTACTCCCTAATCACTAACATAATCAACATATCAACTAAAAGAATGTTATTTGTTATAAATTGCCAATTGGATATGACTATTTAGTGAACTTCATACTTCCATTTAGCAAATTATATATATCCTTTAGCAAGAGACGGCAAAAATCTTGTGAAGTCATTTTCCTATTTTGGTGCATAGACTTTCTCCACGATAAGGTCTGTCATCATAAAGTAGTTTTGCCTTCAGCATCGAGATATATGTTTTAAGGGGTAGGCTTATATCAACTTTGGGTAAGCATAATAGGTAAAACGAAAGGGGGTTTTAGTCACTTATTTCCTAGTACAAGTTTTCCAAGAACAATGCCCTGTGATGTACTATAAACCATATACTTAGCTTCTACCACCCACAACCCACAAACCATTAAAATCAAGAACCAATTTTCAAACTTTGCCATATTTTTCATTTCACAGCTGCTGAGAACAAAAAGCCCAAGTCTTTATAAATAGCCTAAATTTGTATGCAAACCAAATTGTGCTAGGATTAATTGGGAAAAAAATAAAATAAAGGGTAGTTTTCAAGATTTTGTAAATTCTTCAGGAAGTCATGTTTTTTGGCTAATGATTGTGGATTTTCATATGATGAGTTTTCTTTGCTTAGGATTGACTTGGGTACCTGGTGTTACAGATAAATCATAACTGGGCTTCTTTTTTTTTCCAAATATCAAATATCAATACATGGACACCGTAGCTTATCTAAATCTCGAGTGCAACGAATTCACAAGCTCGTCTAGCAAGAAAGGCAAAAGCTGTCCAAAATGAAGTATGATTGCTGGTAGTTAAGTTGCCTCATGGCCCTCAAAAGTATATTGGTCAAAGCCAATAGCAGCATCTAACACTTGAGTAGGCAAAAAATAATCCAAAATGAAGTCCTTTAATAATTTAGATTCAACTGAGTACAATCCATAACCTGATAGTATTATTTTCCACAAGTTTTAATTTTCTTGACTGGTTATTATAATTCCTAGACTGTAACGGCCAAAGAAGCAAAGAATCCTCTGATGGAAGATTAGAACAGAGCAAGTTACAAGACCAAGCTGCAGGCAGTAATAGAAGAGTGCTGCTAATTGCTGCTTCTCTTATTGCAGCAGCCAAGTTCATGATCAAGTTCATTGCTCTACGCAAACAACTATGGTACTATGAGAACAAATCTGCTCTCTGGTTTAAGATTAAAATAAATTTGGTCATTCACGAATTTTTTCCAAACACCTAAACAATAGAGAAGATAGAAATATAATATATAACAAACCAAATAGAAATGGTAATTCAATGAAGAATTTTCTCAAACACCTAAAGAACAAAAGCCATTGATATTCCTCAATAGAAATACAGATAAAGATGAATCAAAGAGATATAAAAGGGATACTCACCAGAAAATACGATTGATGGAAGAAAACACACTCAAGTACAAACTTAAGAACAGGAGGAGATAGAGAGCAGATGTTCGAGATGGCGTTAGAGACGCAGGTGTTACTTCTCCGCAAGTGTTAGATTGAGGTGAAAAACCAGCGGTTGCTGCCACACGTTAAAATTAGAACTCCACGTGGATGGACTGAATATCATTGAAATGACATTTTTAATTCCAAGAAACACATGTTGACCTTGAGGTGTCTGTATTCCCTCTTATTAATAAGTAGTAATATAGATTAGACAAGCAATAAAAGTGTGAAGTTAATAAACATATATTTTTTGATTTTTTTTTAAAAAAACAAGCATAATAGGTAAAACGAAAGGGGGGTTTCAGTCACTTATTTCCCAGTACAAGTGAGAACATGAAATAAGTTGATAACTTAAATGAATACATTTAGGAACCAAAAGTTTGCAAGCGATAGACAGTACTTGAGGTCCTTACATGATTTCCGAAAAAAAAAAAAAGTTTCTTGCATACATAAGCAAATATTAAATAAGTGATTTCGGAGAGATCAAACTTTCTGTATAAGCAATTCCATCATGAACTCTAAAATATTCGGGCCAGAATCCAACTGGACCTGTAGATGTCCTAAGTGCAGTATGTCCAAATGTAACCATACGGTTGGTCCAAGGTGCACTTGCTAAAGTCTCAAATAACTATAGTAGCACTTCATCATTTGCAAATCTATGTTTAAATTTGGCATATACAATATTGCTGAGTCGTATCGTAAACAATACAGTCCAAGATTCTTTTACTCGTAGTCTTTCATTACCCACAACTTAAAAGTGCCCCATCCTTGATGTTTATGAGTAGAAGAAACGCAAAGCATTCCTTCCACTAATGAAAGGCCATAATTAGACAACACATCTTCGTTAGTTAAGTGCATTTGCTCTAGCAAAGGTATCTCTCCGTACACCTCATCCGGCAAACTAAATGAAACCAAATGATAAGTTCTTGATATTGTCGTACCAAGCCAATGAAATGCTCCATGAACAAATACCATAGTATCTATATACCAATTGTCATTTCGGTAAGGATAAATCGAAAGCTTTTGTCCCCACCTAGGGAAAATGGCAATGGTAGTTGGATAGTACCAAATCTTTCTCCAAGTACCACTTTTTAGCGAGAGAATTTCAATGGACTGTCCTCCTTTAAGCATGGTCCACTTAAGGAGCTTGTACCCATCACTTGTCGCGTCATATCCCAGTCCGAACATAGTACACAGACGTGTAAATTCTGAATGGGGAAGAAGTGTCGACTCTTTTGTGGAAGGGTTCCATAGAAAAAGTTGTTGATCAGATGTATTATAAAATCCGAGAACAACCAACCCATTGAAACTACAAAATAATTGGCACTCAAGTGGTTTGAAGGTTGAAGGGCAATCGAGTTCTTGTACATACTTTGAAAGACAATTGAGTTCTTGTACATTCGATAAAGGAGAAGAATAGAAGCTAAATTTGAAGGTGGGTTCCATATCAACACTTTCAAGCCATGACTGGCATACAAGAAGTTTGTGGTTATTCTTGGTGAGATGCTTCAACTTAAAGTAAGGATCAGATATTAAAACATGATCTAACAGTATAAACCCCATTTGCCTTGCGTTCGCGTCCTGAGCTATGTGTTCGTGTAGAAGGATTTCCCTTTAGCAACAATTAACTCATCGTATTCGCGTGGGTACTCCCGCGAACGCGAAGAAGGATATACCAGAAACCCAACAGCTGAAAACTTGCAATTCTGTTTTTTAAGTCCGAAACCTTCCGAAACACTCACGAGCCCTCGGGGCTTCTAACCAAACATACGTACTAACTCAACAACATCATACGAACTTATCCATGCGATCAAATCGCCAAAATAACCTCAAAATCAAAGGATTTTTCTCAAACTTCATAAAACATCAACTTTAGCAATTTAGGTCTGAATCATGTCAAACGGACTCCGTTTTCAACCAAACTTTACAGAAATGACTTAAACCATATATAGACATGTACCGGGTGCCATAACCAAAATACGGGCCCGATACCACCATGTTCTAATCAGATTTCTTTTCAAATTTCCTTAAACAGTTTCAGAAAAACAATTTTACTTAAAAATTCATTTCTCAAGCTTGACCTCGGAATTCGATTCCGGGCATACGCCCAAGTCCCATATTTTCCTACAGACCCTCGGGGACCGTCGAATCACGGGTCCGGGTCCGTTTACGCAAAATGTTGACCGGAGTCAATTTAACTCATGTTATAACCATATTTTATCATTTTTCACAGAATTTCATATTTAAGATTTTCGGCTACGCGCCCGGACTGCGGACACATATCGAGGTGACTCTAAATGAGGTTTTCAAGGCCTCAGAGACACAAAATTCAATTAAGATCAAGTGATGGCCTTTTGGGTCATCACAACCGAACACTTACCTCGAACTTCCACGGCCAACTCAAGCCTCAAACACCGCCTTTCCTTTCGAATTCGGCTCCAAATCAATTATATCTAGACATAATCGACTTAATAACATCAATAAATGCTAAATAATCCAATTCCAATACTTAATTATAGCTTACTAATCATTCTTCCCAAAAATCCAAAAATTGACCCCAGGCCCGCTTGATCAAAACACGAGGTTCGGACCAAAATCCGATCACCCATTCATCCACGAGCCCGAATATATAATTAGTTTCAAAATTTGACCCCAAAACGAGGTCTAAATCACAATTAATCAAAAAGTCCTAACTCTACCCAAATTCCTAATTTTCTACCCTTAAAAACATGATTTAAGCCTATAAATCTAATCGGTGTTAATGGAAATTGAAGGAAAAGAGTCTAAGATTACATACCTATGAATTGGTGGTGAAATCCCCTTTTAAAAATCGCCCAATTTGGTGTTTAGATGAAGAAGTTATGAGTTTTTGGTGAAAATCCCGTAATGGCTATTGTTTTAAATGCTGGGCGACAGTGTTCATCGCGTTTGCGAGAACACTGTCGCGATCGCGAAGAGCTGCCAGTAAGTGGACTTGCACGATCGCAATTTCCTCTACGCGTTCGCGAAGGGTAAGCCTCCCTGACCTTCGCGTTCGCGGACAGCATTACGCGTTCGCGTAGAAGAAAAGACGAGTCCCCAGCCCACCTCCAGTTTACACAACGCGTTCGCGTCACACAGGTCGCGTTCGTGATGAGCCACCCCCCAGTGCTCCGCATTCGCGACTGTGGCTTCGCGTTCGCGAAGAACAAATCCACCCTGTCCCAATTTCCCTTTCGCGATCGCGAGTGTTACTACGCGATCGCGATGCACAAAAGATCTGTGTACCTGCAGCAGTAATTTTGCAACTTTTCCTAAGTCCAAAACCTTCCGAAACACATCCAAAATACTCATGAGCCCTCGGGGATCCTAACCAAACATACATTCTAACTCAATAACATCATACGAACTTAACCGTGCGATCAAATCGCCAAAACAACCTCAATAGCAACGAATTAAACCCCAAAATCCATGGAATTTTTTCAAAACTTCTTAAAGCATCAAACTTTGCATTTACGGTCCGAATCACGTCAAACGGATTCCGTTTCTTACCAAACTTCACACAGTTATCTTAAATCACATATAAGACCTGTACCGGGCGCCGGAACCAAAATACGGGCCCTATACCAACATGTTCAAATCAAAATTCATTTCAAATTCCTTTAAACAATTTCAGAAAATAATTTTCTTTAAAAATTCATTTCTCGGGCTTGGGACCTCAGAATTCGATTCTAGGCATACCCCCAAGTCCCATATTTTCCTACGGACCCTCCGGGACTGTCAAATCACGGGTCCGGGTTCGTTTACCTAAAACGTTGACCGAAGTTAACTCATTTTATAGTCAAAATTTATCAATTTTCATAGATTTTCATATTTAGGCTTTCAGGCTACGCGCCTTGACTGTGCACGCAAATCGAGGTGATGCGAAATGAGGTTTTCAAGGCCTCGGAAACACAGAATTCAATTTAAAAGCAAGTGAAGGTCATTGATAAAAATATGATATATATGTGATACACATATCATTTTTTTCATGTTCAGTTTTTACTACAAATTTTCAATTCAAACCACCTCAAAACTTCACTAAATCATCCCCAAACTGAGATTCAAGCTCCTTAAGATGTACCTATTCTATTCTAACACCCACTTAAAAGAAAGCAAGAATTTGATTTTATTTTTTTTGGCTACAAATAGCTAATTGGCTAATATTAATAATATTTGGCTAATATTAGTAATATTTTATTAATTGACCAATTTTTATAAGGAGCTAGTTATAAATGAACATAGCTAGTAGTTTTCCTACATTATCTTAAAGATTTTAACATTATTGGTCACTAATAAAAAAATATCAATATCTATATTACCATTTTTTTATTATTTCAATAATAGCAGATTTTATAACAAATATAACATACTCAAATAAACTGCCATTTCTGTTAAATAGTACGTAACTAATAACTCATTTATTTCTCTTCCACAAAATTAGGGATCGCATTTATTATCTTATTCCTCTTTTGAAAGTTAAAAAAAAAGTCTATTTCCATTTCTTTTCCTTTTATATTGTATTGTTTTTTCATCTTTTTTTATCCTTTTTGTTTTCTCTTATTTGGGGAAGGGAATTAGATCAGGATGCTGTAGTGATTTTAATCAAAGAGTTATCAACTGATGATATACTTACGGCTAATGCTGGTCTTTATCGTTATATTTCTGTTATTTTTTTCCAATCATATTATTTTTTTATTTTATCTTTTACATAATCTTATTTCATACTCAATTTTGGCTCCCCTATTTTTATTTTGTTTCTTTCCTTTTGTTTTTTTTTTAATTTCTTGTTCCTTTTCTAATTTCATTTAACTCTATTTTTTGACATAATCTAATCACATTCACTTTTTTGCTCCCTTTCTTTATTCTTCTTTATTTTATACAATAATAAAAGGTAACTAATATAGTAAACATTTATTCACTACATGCAGTATTTAGATGTATTTGAGGTCATACAATAACATTTTTAAATACAATGTTAGTTCTATCATTTTGATATTATTCGTCAAAATGACAGTTAGATTGAATACATAACTAATTAATGAATAACATCAAAATGATAGAACTAACAATGCATTTAAAAATATTATTGTATGAACTCAAATACATCTAAATACAACATGTAGTGAATAAGTGTTCACTATTGTTATCTTTTATTACCGTATAAATAAAGAAGAATAAAGTAAGGGAGCAAAAAAAAGTGAATGTGATTAGATTATGTAAAAAAAATAATAGTCATGCAAGATCTCAAAAAGGCACAAGCTCTTTAATGTAAAGTTTTATAAGGAAAAACCCCATTTGTTAAGAATTTACATAATGTAGAGAGAGACTCTCCATCCTCTCACTAGAAAGAAACATTGTCTACTCACAATACCGATAATTTCATACCTCTCTCCACAGAGGATAAAACACGACTTTACTCTCCTTGGAAATATTCTATCATTATTAAGGTTTTTGGAAGAAAAATAAGACATCTAACCCTTAAACAAAAACTAATCCAACTATGGAAAACGGAACCACTAGCACTCATTGATTTAGGAAATGATTTCTTCCTCATTAAGTACCAAAGAGAAGAAAATATGTCCAAAGCTCTTCATGAAGGTCCCTGGTTTGTACTAGGCCATTTCCTATCAATGAGAAGGTGGGAGCCAAAGTTCTTAGCCTCTATCTCCAAACTCACATATACGGCCATATGGGCTAGATTACCAGAATTGCCCACTGAATTTTATGATACCAATATCTTACAACAGGTATGCACTAAACTGGGTAAGTTATTAAAAATTGATACATGCACTTCATCGACACTACGAGGCAGATATGCAAGAATCTATATCGAAGTCCCCCTCGAACAACCACTCAAATCCCATGTCTTCATAGGACATCATTGCCAACAAATTCTCTATGAAGGTTTAAATATGCTCTGTGTACGTTGTGGAAGACTGGGCTATATTAACCTCCACCGCCCAAACACGAAGACACCACTTCACACATAATCACCAACCACTACCTCCAAGGAAAATTCTCAAGATCCACCTCAACAAAATGCGGAATGGAAGACGGTTACTTTTCCTAAAAGGACATCAAACTATAATTTGCGTGCAACGGAAGAAACTCAAGCTCCACACATCAAAGAAAGTCGTGCTACTACTTCGAAACACGGGGCCAAACGACAAGGTACAGGTACACATCTCTCTCAAACTCCCCATGATTTAATTAGTGCTAATGCTATTAATAAAAAGGATCACTCTAAATTATCACTAAAAAATAGTTTTGAACAGTTAATTAATACAAATGACACGACTCTCGTTCAATTGACAACTAACCTAGAAAATAACGGAACAAGCCTAATAAAGGAAATAGTAGCCCAACTACAAAATCAGTACACAAATAGCGGGTCAGCCCACATACCAATCACACCTCAAGATATCCTCCTAAAAATTCCTCCACATAATTACCCTATATCACTCTCTCCAAGGGTAAACAGTAACCCTAAAGACACCATCAAACGCCTTCGTCTGCCACGTTAACTCCACCACCCACAACGA